TTGCCGTCCTTCATCGTCGTCCTGCTGATGGTACCTTCCAGCATCTTGCTCGGCAATTCCAATCCTTCTAGCACGGCTGCTCTCCGCTTTGTACTAGGGGTGGTGGGCGAACTAAAGGGGCGCGGCCTCGAGGGCCCAAGTGCGCTTATTGCACCAACGAGACTCACCTTACGGTGCCCCATGTAGCACTACGCCGGGGACATAGGTCGCTACGGGTCACAATTGGGCCAATCTTGTACTACGGACTAAACTACTAAACTAAACTACGGACTACAGGAGGTTAAACTACGGGGACAAGACTAATACCGGTTGTAGGGAAAACTAAACTACAGTAGAGCGAAGAAAAGAAGTGGTGTGAAAGAAAAACTAACAGGATACGGATCAAAGGACCCCTAGTACCAATCCAAACCCATACCCAGCCCCAAACTCAAACCTACCTAGAAAACAGAAAAATACAAAAGCCATAAAACACAAAATACTAACTATAAAACCCCAGCTTACATAAAAGAACCCGAATCCCGTCTCCCCGGCTATGGTCCAAGCTCCTATATATATATAGGACGGTGCCGATCCCCAGCTGCGGTTCTTCGCGCGTCTTGATACTGCTCCACCTTCACGCGTCCACCGATACAACTCTACGCAGCTCCATACCCCTCTCTCAATTCCTCCTGTCCTTCGCCTTCGAACCAGCGCGTACAACGATACAGTACTGAAACGCGTTCGACGATACAACACTGGTACACGTACGACGATACGATACTGAAGCGTGTTCAACGATACAATACTACATACGCGTGCAACGATACAGCTCTAAATCGCGCTCCCTAACTTCCATCCGTTCGTTTTCCAACTGTCCCTCCATACCATCTTCCCTCTCGAACAACAATCCAACATCAAAACTCTTCTGGCGCGTACTCCGGTACAGCTCTCTCGCGTCCTCCGATACAGTCCTAAAATGCGCGTACAACGATACAACTCTTCTTCGCGCCTCCACGATCTGGTCTTCTGCGCGCAGCGTGCTCGACGATACAATACTAAATGCACGTACAACGATACAGCTCAGGCGCGCTCGCGATCGTCCTATCCTCCATCTTCGTCTTCCTCCTCCGTCTGTCTGACATCCATCTTCCATCGATCGATCCACAATCCAACAAGGCGTCCGTCTTCAACTCTTCCTATCTTGCTTCCTCCAATCCTTCGCTCTAAATCCCAAAGACTCGACATGTGCGGCCGCTGGTACTCTCCGGTACCCCCTATCGAGCCCGCCGACTACGACACCGGCCCTCCACCTGGGCAGCACTTTCCAAGCGCGACAGGCTTACCAGGTATCGCATGACGTGGGCGCTCGATCGATTGGGGTTCTAGTTGGCAAGTTGCCACAGTCTTCCCGACTATCCCCCCGCGCTGACACGCCATGCTTCGCACCCTGGCTACCTTCCGGCACTCTTGTTACTGGCTACGTAGGTATTCAGCTCTGCCTCTCTGTTTGCCAGGACTTCCTACTGGGGCGCTGAGCGTGGTAGCTTCGGGCTCGTTACGCACGCATGATGGATGGGATAGCGCGTTCCTTCAACAACGCAGCAACGAAGCAACACACCGATGACACACGACTCTGCTCCAACTTGCGCGACTAACCCATCCGCGGGCGGCGACGCCATCCACCATGCGCTCGGCATCGATGCACCATGTTGCGGCTCGGTGGGCTCTGCGCCCCCTCACCTAGTGCTCGACTGCCTTGCGTCCAGCTCCTGTCCCCGAAGGACTTCCGCAGCTGCGGGTGGGCCCAGCCCACAACGGCGCGTTACGCCTACACGAACACGAAACAAATAACATACATAAAATTCACTAAATAAATATACACGACTAAAACATACGATATAAACAAATGTAAATATACATACCACGGGGAGAGTTAAGCTCTACCCCGGGCTACCGATGGGGACTCTGGCTTACTCACACTCACACACTAGCACACTCACACACTCTCCCGGAATCCAAGGGAGCTACCCACAGGCCGGCCGCGCGCCGCCAAGGCAGCAGCTACGGCACGGCAACACCGACCCCATGATGTTGACCATCAGCATCGAACAAGCTCCCAGCAAACCCTGCGCGGCCAAGGCGCTTCGTGATGTTCATCATCCTGGAATTCTATCCTCGCGCATACATCCAAACAATCCATCAACGATCCATCCAATCGCGCGAGGCACGGGGACGTAGACACGACGGCGATATCGTGGAAACCCAACCAATCAATAACAAAGGCGGCACGACGATAATAGTAAGATGATAAGACGAGAGAGGCCGCACTGGCGCGCGTACGCGCTATTTATAGCGGTGGCTGGGGGCGTGCCTACATGGTGTGGTCTCGGAGCGAACAAGGTAGCCGCCGTAAAGCGCGGCGACCGTGCTCACGACCGAGACGCGCGGCAGCACGGTGCTCCCGGCCACATGCTGTGAGGAGCGGTCGATCGCGAGCCGCGACAATCACTTTTCTCAACGACGCAACTTATAGATGCTAATTATTCGGAAGATTGTACTCAATTAGTACCCCTCTTGAGTAATTATGCAACCCAACACCTCACTTCGCATTTTTTAGGGAACAGTGGCTGATTGGTACTATATCAGTTTATCATGTTATCTTGTACAAATAATGCGCTATCTTTTATTGACACAGCATCTTCAGTCATGCTTACTAATATTTTGGGAATGTTTTGGTTAGCTTTGACTCCAAATAATTGTGGAAAATGTTATTCGTTCAACTCGCTGAGTAATACATTTAGAAAACTTTTTCTTCTCAAAGTATTTTCCATGGTCTAACCTTGAATGCGTGAAGATGTATGACTTTTTTTACAGATATTTTTTCATCTCTCGCAAAAGACACCTGTTTCAAGGCTAAACGTGAAGGTCATTCGCTGATCGCTGTCATGTCGGTTCATCCCCTCTGAACGTCAATTGAACTTTCTTGTCACATGTACATCGTTCCAGTAACCTTGTTTTTCTGAATGATCAAAGTCTTTGTATTAGGTTGATGCACAATCCTTGCACAAAAAATAGAAAAATTATTTTAGAAATGCTCAAACAAACTACTCAAGTCACATGATATGCTCTGTTATGTATTATACAGGGTGTCCCAAAAGTATGTATCGAACGTTTGATCGTTAATATCTCTCTTCCCAAGAAGTCTCTTGCCTTGCTTCAAGTACCATTTTGTAGAGCTAGCTTCAACTTAGATTTGCATTATAGAACGAATCACTCATTCCTCTTCATTACTGTAGGATTACGGTAGAAACTTCAAAGAGGGTTTTAAGCAATGAAAGGCCATATTTTGCCTTAGAAAGGAAATAAAACAGCTTGAAAGTTTTCGCACTAGGCTAATTAGAGTTGCTGATTATAACTGTAAAGTTCCCAACTTATTATGATGCTTCATTGAGGAGTTATGCCAGGTAAGAGGTAGCGGCCATTTTTTCAATGTTCCTAAAAAGTGCGATTACACCGTTTAGAAAGCTTTGTAATCTTGTGAATAGTTGAGTATTGAACTCAGCATCCATAAAAACCCTATTACACAAGTTTTCACAATTTTTTGAAGAATTTTGGAACTGCAGCTTTTTCCACATTGACACCATATGTTTCAAGTTTCTACCGTAATCCTACAGTAATGAAGAGAGATGGGTGATTCGTTCTTTAATGCAAATCTAAGTTGAAGCCAGCTCTACAAAATGGTACTTGAAGCAAGGCAAAAGACTTCTTGGGAAGAGAGATATTAACGATCAAACGTTCGATACATACTTTTGGGACACCCTGTATAATATATCAAAAGTAGTATTTTACAATACATTTTAGAAGATCAATATGAAACAAAATCGATAAGTCACTTCAAAAAAAATCGAAATTCGTAACTAATCGCAGAGACATTCAATCACTACAAACTCCTCTTATTGTTAGTTAAAAAGAGCATGTCATAAAACTTGGAAAATAAAACTAAACACAAAACAATAAATTTAAATTCTAGTAAAAGTTTTAGCAATTTTAGTGACCAAAAATCAAAAAAATCACTTTTTGGTATTTCTCTTAATCGCCTTGTATCGCTGCCATATGCCCTCAAGGAATTTCGGCTCGATCGCCTTCAGAAGCGCAAGATTTGCCATTTCTATTATGTATCAAAACAGAAGATTTCATCGAAGCTGGATGAAGTAACAGAATTTCAAAAAATTTTGGTGCAAGAATTATGCGTCAATTTAATAATTACAATTTTCGGACGCATATTGCCGTTTGCTCACTTGTATTATGTTCATTCATATGTTTACTTTGACATAAAGCCTTCTCGCCAGTCTCCTTCCCAAACGCAAGCCAGCTAGGCTATCGCTTCTAAAATTTCATTTTCTCCAAGAAATTTTCCCCTTTTACGTGCCCCACTTACGTCACCGACAATCTAATTTGTGTTCCAACCAATTTCAAGTTCTCATCTATCATAGCAGAAGATTTTTGCGTGAGTTAAAGGGCTAGAAACTCGTCTTGAAAAGCAAATTTCAATCGATCTGTCCTGTTCTCCTTTTCTCCATTATCTATGTAGCAATCGATTGTGAGGCACGTGAAAAACTATGCCTTCTACTTGAGACAAGCCTCAAATTTCGTTTGATAAGAACTGCTTTCTTCGGACATTTTCAATTTCGCCGTGTGGATATGCATTTTCGCTTATAAAGCATTTCCAAGTCACATTTGCCCAAAAACTGAAGTGCAATTTGTTCGTGGAACATCTTGGTACCAACCAAGTTGCTCGTTTATGACTTTGTTTGCTGAAGATTTTTATTGCTATGACACGTCCACCCTTTGTCAACTTTGATCGCAATATAGCTAGAAAATACTGGTGATATACGTAACCAGCTATGACTTCGTGGCATCAAACCCTTGTTAGATAAATGTTTTTCTGGGGACAATAAAGCTCAGAATGGTCGCAAAGCATCTCAATTTTTATTTTTGATTGATACGTCTGACGGAGGTGGCAGCTCGACATCGCTTTTTCTGCTATATTGACATTCTTTAATGCCGCTGTAGACTTTGAAGGAGCATCGAGTGGGTCGCGTTATTTCTTGTATGCTCTTTGTCATCAGGTGTTTGATTTCTTCGATATCAGGGAAATACCAGAATAAAACACCTTTGCTCATGAGCTACGTTTTTTTGGCAAATTGGCTCCAGATGCGCTGAGATGCTTTTCTTTGACATTTCATTATATTTCGCAGTGCACAATTTATACTATTCTTATAAATACTCAAGTTCTGGGAGTGTTGCACTAGTCATATCTGTATCCATAGCCATGCTCTCCCTTTGCTTTTGTTTGAACTGCGAAAAACTAAGGCTACTCAAAAATTCAGGGAGATGTTGCCTCAGTTACAACTCCCCTACCAAAACAACTTCGCTGTCCGAATTTCTCGCTTTCAGGGTTTCAGCAATTGTTCTAATTCTTTATTCAGCTATCAACCGTATGCAGACATTATTCCAAGATCAACAGTCGGGTTTCTAGAACTTTTCTCATTCACATTTCTTTGACTTTCCTCAATATTCACGAAAAGACCTCATAAATTTGAGGCCGATTGTTGGTCTCAGGTTGATGATTCTGTCTTAAAACTAGCACCGCTCAAAAAAGAAACGTTTCGATCCTTGTTCTGCTGCTAATATGATAAGATAAAAAGTTGAACGGTCGTATAGTGTTTGCCAATACTTTCGGTTACCATTGTTTTTTCCAGTACTTAATCTATTTATCAATACTTCGTCGCAAAAATCTGCCTCTGACATACGTTTGCTCCTCTTCACTGCAAAGCACTGCAAGCTGAACTAAAAGCGAGGATCTGATTACTTTAGTGCACTTTCCATTGCTCATATGCCTACGTTCTTCACCCGGCACCAAAAAAATTGTAATCAAAGATCTGGGCATTGCTACTAACTTTATTTTGATTTCTCAATCATACATTGAGTCGGTTCCTCGATTGTTCACCACTTCTTCAAGAAACTGTAACCTCTTTGCATCTCAGTGGGATATCTTCGAATTGTATACATTCTAGACCAAAACCCTTTTTATAGCAGTCAGTATGAAAAAATTCGAGAATTGGAGGTAAGAAAATTACTCAAGGTTGCCATTTTTTATGCAGAGTCACGAAAAATTCTCATAGCTGTGAAAATTTATGGCTCTTGCTTCTGAAGTTTTACCTCACTAATGTGTAAACTCTGGGTGTTCTCTGACTTCCGGCTTTATACCCCTAATGATAAAGCCTTTACCTTCATGCTTATTTCTTAGCTAAAAATTTCCGTAAAATGCACAAAAGTTTTTGCTTCAGTTCTCAATCTCATAATCCCTTCGTAAAACGTGCTAGTTCAATCAATATTCAGTGAATATTTTTCGTAATATGAAACAGTAAAATAGTAATATTTCAATACTCACAGCTTCCTAGTCCATAATATTATTCCACCCACTCACTGACATTTTGAGTCCAAGCTAGTGAGCGTTGTTTACGGGTGAAGTTACTCGGTATGACATCACACGAGCCTAAGCTGTCAATGAAATTTTGAATTATTTTCCTGGCAAGGAGCAGTAGTTGTTTGGTTTTTGAGTTGACTATTTCAGTCCTTCATCTTCAGCTTCGAGATGACATAAAATGTCAAAGATCGACATGGGAAAAGAACAACTTTGAGCAACAAGCGATGTTCCGAGAGGCTCATATCCGGTCTTTTTCACTCTAACTTCATTACCGATGCTCCCCGTTCTTTCCTGTTGTCGCCTTTTTTTGTTTATTTATTTATCTTGACACACAAGGTGTGCCAAATAACAAAATTGCGAGAACAAGTATGTTAGACAACATTGATCAAATTGCATAAAATCAGTAATGCTTCCACCCCCGCTTTTCTTCTCAAAAAACACATAAGACGCCCAAAGGTATAACAGAATTATTCTATGAAGCTCACTATTTGAATATCCATCTTTCCTCTTTCCATCTACAGTCCTTCGTTACAACAAGCGTTAGTAAAGAGTTTTGTATCTTTCGTTATTACATCGTCTTCTCTCCGTAGGCATTAGTCATTGCAGGAGAATGTTTCCAGTCAAAGTTTTCTTTGGAGAAAAAAATCCAGAAAGCTTCTTGCTTTTGTCATGCTTTATGAGTCACTGACTGCTTTTTCTTGCAAGCATCTTTACATTTAGCAGATTAAGGCTGCGAACTTCCCACGCGCTTTTACTTGCTTCAAACACGAAAAAGAAAGAAATCATTTTCTCAAAAAAACTTCTTAGTAATGCTCAACTTTATGATGGAAGACGAGGACTTCACTGCCGCTATCGTACATCTGCCTTATATATCTTTTACTGAGCATGAGCATTTCGTTCCTACTCATGTCTCTGTATTCTATTCTTACATTTTTGTTGTGCTTCTCGAGTTTCAGATAGTTGTGCACAGTTCTCATTCGAGCCCTTACACTCTTCCATATGCTTAGGGATTTTCAAGAATGTTTTTAGGAAACAATTCATTTTGGCATGTAAAGTTTTCAGAACTTGATTCTCATTTGAATTCGAAATTCAGTTCTTATGATCGTTGCAAATAATGTTTTCTCAGCGGTTTGGTGGTCGGCTTCCGAAAGTCTGACAAATCTGAACATGGACTTTCCGTGGACGTGGCTCACTCAAACTACACCGGATCAAAAAATTTTTGTCGATTCCTTCCATCGTCGATGAAAGAACTCACAAGAAACAATCTAGCATTTTGTTTTCTGCTGTGTTTTTGTAGAAGCGACGACTTCTTTTCTGAAAGTAAGGCATAAACTCCGATAATATAGAAACCAGGAGTTGAGGTTGAGGCTAGATTATTGAGCACCGGACGGAAAAAGTGGTCTTAACGGTGTGAAATAACGGTCGCAGATACTTCAGAAGTTTAAAACCAAACTTCAAAATAACTAAGTCGTGAAAGATACATTCAGCATGTCAGTTCAACATTTTTTTTCTTCAAGCGGTTACAAATTTGATTTCGTGGAAAGCATTTCAGTCGTTACCGCTCTCATTTTCTTTTTATTCTACCTTGCCATATTATGTCTGTTGGAACGCGAAATTGGCTCTGATCTACAATGTCTTTACCTTTACTCACTTTTCCCCACTAAAAATTTGTCATTCGTAAGTTCTTTGTTTTCGGACATTTGGGGTAAGCAAATAGAATATTTTGGGTTCTTCTGCTCAAAGGATGTGGCATGCCCTTTGTCTTTGTCCTTCAATCAAATTCTTCTGAATATAAGTTCCAGAACATTTCACATCCACAGTGGATTGACCTTTTTCCGTTTCGCGGCATAAAACTCGTCCTTTCTGTTTTCTTGAACTCTTGAGCCGTAGCTTGATTATACATTGTTGATTCTAACGAAGATACTCGGATATTTCGATATTCTGTTTTTACCCTGTGAACGCTAGAAGAGAGCTCTATAGGTCATTGCCCTAGCCACCGATCTTTCTCGCTTTTTTCAGGCTAGTGAGCGATCATAGTGAGAGAAAAAGAGGACGGGCTCATTGGCCGTTAACGGGAGAGCGCTGAGCGATGCCACCAGCCAGGCAAGCAATCAAGTGCAGTCTGCTTCAACAGAAAACCACTCGTCGTACTGGTACACTTCGTCGAAAAAAGGTCATTCATTACTTCTTCCGACAAAGGAGCTTTTTTGTGATTTTGAACTTGCTTTATCGCAGTTTTAGTCTCTCTTTTGGCGCAGACTTGAAAAGCCTCTTTAGCTTTCTTTCACGGTCTTTTTCTTCACCTCCCACTTCAAGGCACTTCCGTAGATTTGCGAGAGTTTGCTATTTTCTCACACTTTACTTTTTCAGTTTCCTGCCTATAACTAATGAGATATATGAAATTTCTCTAGTGTCGTCATTATGCCAAAGTTTCTTGCTTTAGACAAAAACTTTAGAGAGAGCTCAAAATCTTTTGATGTATACTAAGACCTGCCCTCCTCCAGTATTTCAAAAACTATATGATTTGAGTTGAAAACTCTTTCAAAAAGGTTTCGAATCCTCTCCCATTCATTACCCTGAAATCTTGTATGCAAGTCCTTTTATTGAGTTTTTTTTTCAAATTTTAGAATCTTGTACTTTTTGGAAAAATGCAAAAAGAATAGAGCTCATTGCAAATTGCCGAGAGATTTCGAAGAGCTCTTTTCCAGAGATGTGACTTATTGGCCAAATAATACTTTTTATAGAATTTTTTTGGTTTTCACCTACACTTTACAGAACCTCGTCGATATGCAAACTTTTTTTTCTATAAGTGACCAAGAAAATTGGAAACTGTCCAGTCGTTCATCCCAGTTTTACCTCGCTTAATTTTTTCCAAATTTTTTCAATGTAACATCTTTTGCTGCACATACCTTTTCTAAGATGTATAAAAGACTCCATAATAAAATAAATGAGCGAGGAAGGGCCGGCACACTCTCGCAGACACGTTCATCCGTCATCATATATTTCTCCTGCTGCTCTCTGTTCGAAACTACTTTTTGGAAGATATTTTTCAGAAGGAAGGCTAAAAGAATTCGATGTACCTTTTTTATTTTCAATATAAAGTTTAAAATCCTTATTTACCTTATTACTAGTGGCGTGAGAGAGGGTGGGGGGGACGGGTCGCGAAATTTTTGAAAGCTACTTAAATGTGCTATAAAAATGTGCAAGCGATTCAATTTCGCTTGTAAATAATTAAAATAACTTTAAATTTTTAAAAATTCAAATTAGCCCTGTGAAAAAATCTTTTTTGGGAGCTCAAAGAGTGCGTGGCTAACGCCACCACCTTCATCCGAAAAATTTTTTTGTCGCCCCCCCCCCCCCTGAACGGAAATTCTAGGTACGTATTCCACTGCCTATTACGTATGATCATTTCATTTACTGCATTTTCTCTGCTTATGAAAAATTTGGCATCAGCTAAGTAAATTTTACCGTTTCACCTAGTGTTTATCAATCGGCCTTAGAAAACGAGGTGTTAGCTCATCAACATTTCGTGGCATGTTTGGGAACTGAGCAGATATAAAGCGACTTGTTATGGAGATACTTTTCATACTTATTGTTTTTTCTATACTTTTTTCTGTGCTTACCATCACCTATTTGATTTAATGGTGTAAAGGGCTGCTAGTTCATTTTCTACTTGTTCACACAAAGCATGTCCTTCAAGCTTTTCTACTATATAGCAAGCTCTATGCCCTTGGGGTTTTATGAAGAACCTAGTGATTTTGAGTCAAAAAAGCTATTGGAGACTTACTGTAGGTGGACATAACCCTACATAATTTGTGGGTAATAATGTATTGCGATGCAACTTGTTCGACCAAAAGTAAGTATTTGAAGCTTTCCATAAAAGGTTTTTTCCCAGTATAAAATTTATTCGCTCAATCAGCCAGCACACATTGCCGTCGGGACGATATGTAGCGTAAACACAAACACGTTAATTGATCTGAAGCATGTGTTCTGGATGAATCGTCCGCGCATCATCGTATAAATTATTTATCCGCTATTTCGGATAAACCTCACTGGAATAGATTCAATTGTGAACTTAGCAAAGTGCACGGAAGTAGCAGTGTTTTATTTTGGGATTTTGGCCACACCCATAAAAAATTCACCTCAGTCTGGCAGCTCTGTTAGCTTAAATCCTTGATGAGCGTGTTTTCCTGGTTTGGTGGAAGTTTAGTACCGGCTGGATGGCTACCAAATTTCGAACCAAACTGAAAAGTTGTGTGATCATAATATTGGGTTGGTCCATATATTGCATTAAAATTTCTAGAAGAATCGCTTTTCTGGTTTCAGACTGAAAAGTGACGTGATCATAATATTAGGTTGGTCCATATCATGCATCTTGTATGGTCGCATTCTTCTGGTTTCAATGAATTCGCTTGATTCAATATAGCTAAGGAAGGAAAAAAAATGCATTTCCGAGATGTGCTTCGATATCGTGTTGACATATCACGGAAATACAAACATGTCTAATATTGTCTTCTCTGATTTGTTCAAAGCAGAACATGGTTACAGGTTACAGAAAGATACATGACATCAATAGAAACATTTTTTGAATGTGATTAAAAATATTTTTTCTGGTGCAGAACTTCTGAACTAACGTGATAGAAACTGAAAAAATAATGTTGACCGCATCTTTTTATTTGTACTTTTTATCGGATTCCATTCAAAAGAATATGCAAACTTTTTTTTTCTATAAGTGACCAAAGAAAGCTGAAAACTGTCCAGTCGTTCGTCCCAGTTTTACCTCGCTTAATTTTTTCCAAATTTTTTTCAATGCAATAACATCTTTTGCTGCACAGACCAGTTCTAAAATGTATAAAAGACTTCATAATAAATGAGCGAGGAAGGGCCGGCACACTCTCGCAGACACGTTCATCCGTCATCATATATTTCTCCTGCTCCTCTCTGTTCGAAACTACTTTTTGGAAGATATTTTACAGAAGGAAGGCTAAAAGAATTCGATGTGCCTTTTTTATTGTTTTCGAGGTCTATATAAAGTTTGAAATCCATATTTACCTTATTACTAGTGGCGTACGAGGAGATGGGGGGGGGGGGGTCGCGAAATTTTTGAAAGCTACTTAAATGTGTTAAAATGTGCAAGCGACTCATTTTCGCTTGTAAATAATTAAAATAATTTTTGAAAATTTTTAAAAATTCAAATTAGCCTTGTAAAAAATTTTTTGCGAGCCCAAAGAGTGCACCTTCATCCGAAAAAATAATTTGTCGCCCCTCCCCCCCCGAACGGAAATTCTAGGTACGCCACTGCTTATTACGTATGATCACTTTCATTTGTTGCATTTTCTCTGCTTATAAAAATTTAGCACCAGCTAAGTAAATTTTACCGTTTCACCTAGTGTTTATTATTCGGCTCATAGAAAATGAGGTGTTAACTCGTCATTCAAATCAGCAAATTTGGGAATTAAGCAGATGTGAAGCGGCTTGTTGTAGAAGTTTTCGGTACTTTTTCACACTTATTGTTTTTTCTATACTTTTTCTGAGCTCAAATTACCTACTTGATTTAATGGTGTAAAGGGCTGCCAGTTCATTTTCTACTTGTTCATGCAAAGCTTGTTTGGTAAGGTTCTTGTTTTTTCGTGTTAGGTTTCTGATCGCCTATAAGCTCCTCCATGTGTACTGCGGTACACAGCCTGTCTGGCTAATGTTTTTGAGCCTATAAATTTCGAATAATGTCGTTGTCAAATCCTCTTCAGAACTATATCCACATTTGTTCAATGGGAGGTTCCCTTGCTATAAATTTCCTTGGACTTTTGCCAAAGTAGAGGAGAAATATCATAAATTTTAGCAGCAGTTTTTTCATCTGAGTGAGCCAAAAATAGCAACAACCTCTTTTCGAGGACTCGAAATGTTGTCTATAAGTGATGCACACGCCGTATGTGCCTCGGCGCTTATTTCCTCGAATTGAACTCGAACCCATGCCGAGCCCGCTGGGGACACCCTGGCTTGACTCGAATTTACGAGCTAGTTTTTGCGACTAGATCATCGTCGCGCTCAGCATAGATCTCTAGTCAATTACAGAGCATGTTTTGCAATTTGTTATTGATTTTTTTTTGATATTTTTCAATTTTAGAAGGTGGAATACGGAGAAGCATGTTGGGTGGTCTTATGCGTTCACGATGACAAAATTCCCATTCTTGAATGGTACCACTGTGAGGAGTCAGTAAAGCAACATCAGCCTTTCAAAGTGAGTGTAATTAATTGAGCAGTCATTACTTCTTTTTTTCATCTATCTTTATGTTGTCTCAGCCTTCTTCTCCAAGTGTCTTAATTGTCCTCTCAAACTCTTCCAACATTCATTGTTTATCTCAAAGAAAGTTCGCTTTGCCTAAAGTAGCCCTTTGCTTGAGGCATGCTTTTGAAACGCGCATTCACCCAAGGGTTTTCACTTGTATGTACACTCGAGAGACTTAGCAAAATACTGGATGATTTATATGGTTGAGGCCACATAGCAAGAAAGCTACAAATTATTTTTTTCTATCATTTGTCATTTCAGTGTATCGGTACTAGAGATAGTCAAAGAGTTTTTGGTGACTTCTTCAGCCTTTTCAAAACATTTTCAAAATTTTCAATACATAGTATCAGCGATATAGCAGAATAAGCTTTATTAAATCTATGCTGTATAATCACGAATAGTCGCTTTGTCACTTTTATGAACACCGTCTCTGGATTTTCTCCCCAGCTGATTTTTTTTGCAACTTTTCTATAGCTTTGGGTTTGATCGAAAACCCAGCGAAATTCTTCAAAGAGAGAAAGGCAATCGTACTTTCGGATATGAATGTTTCTAGTGAACTTTACGTAGTTCTACTTTTAATGTGATCTGAAGATCTCTCTTAAATTTAGCAAGAACTATAAACATATGCATCTTCTCATGGCCCCTCAAGATTAGCTATATCTTAGGAAGCTATTAGGTCTTATTAGTATTACTCTACTACGATTTAACGAAAATGCAATCAAAAATTCCGTAGGAGAACAAAGTTCGATCACTCCACCTAATACTCTTGGCCTTAACATCCGCACCTTTTCCATTTTCTTACGAAAGTACCAGCCGTAATTTTCGTAATCGTTTACATTGATAAATGTCCATAACCAAGACTGGAATTTTTTTGCCAGTGGAAAAGCTGCTTTTCTCACTTCTATGGTCATTTTTAAGACGTTAAGTTGGTGCATGTAGTTTCCTCTAATCGTTCATATCGTGAAAATGACTGATGTTTCAAAAATGTAAAGTTCCATGGTGCTTTTTTGCCGTATTCGCAAAATGATGCACCATTTAGGTCTTGGATCTTCTGTTTGCTAACTACGTGAGCTCCGTAGTGGCCGATAGGCGTTCGTTCATTATCGGACTGCGAGATTTGGAACCAATCGAATTGGCTGCACTGCATCCGTAAGTTTTCTTGACAAAGTGCTTTTTAGGGCATGAATAAAAAAGTTTACAGTTTGTTAAGTACAGGGGAGAGGGAAAGTAATCATCTTACTATATCTGAATAATTCAGTGAAGTTTGTTCGGAGTGGGTGAACTGCACAACGGAAACGTTGCGAAGGCTGGCTATTCTCGATCACACTTCGAACATTTACGGCTCAACACCTTTAATTAAGGTAATTTATCACTTTCATTGTAAACTCGAACTCTTCCGGTGAGTCACTTGCCCACTCACAAATGTTCATTTTGAGCGCGTCCAGACATCTCGAGGTGTGACTTGCTTAGAAAGAGCTCTTCAACTTTCTCTTTTTTTTGCTGAGATCTCTTGGCTTAGTTTCATTTTGGATCAGCCAAAGATATTTTTCAGAAGTGCGAGATCAACGAGTCACGAACTCCTGGTATCCTTGACACTCCTGTACCTTCCCCGGTAAGCATCATTTTCTTATTGAATTCGAGATCACTCAATATCTGGTTTGCTAACAATTTTGCCATGACAGCCCACCTTCGTTGAAACAAAGCTATAGAATTATTAGTGTACGATGGATGTGAGCTAAACTAGATGATTCGGATTAGTCAAAGTCTGATAGCCATAATGCCATAAAATGTATAAGGTGAATACAACGCCTAGTTTGAACTCCATGTTCTCTTCAGTTCATTTTCAATCAAGACAAAAAGGCTGGTTGTTTATTCATCCCTGATAAATATGACGATGTTTTTCTTGACTGACGTTGATCCATAGTGTACACTACTGTGCAAAGTTTCTGACAAGTACGTTCAACGTAAGATACCTATTGCTTATTTTCTTGCGGAAGACAACTATAATCTTATTGTTTCTATTTTTCATCTAAGAGAGCTTCTTGTGCTTTCTTCAGCAGCCTGCGTTTCTGCTAATCTCAAATTAATAACCAGGACATGATTTTTAGTACACAGATAAAACGCAAACTCTTCTTCGCCTCCAACTTAAATCGTGAAGTGTGGTTTAGTAATGTAGAATGCAGTTGTGTTTGCTGAAAAATTTCTAGATGATATCGATTTCTATTATAGGCACAAATGTCCACAGAGACATCTCCACGCCATCGGGTTTATCCTCATGACCCGCTAACCAATAACAGGTAAGTAATTCAGATAAGATTTTAAAAGGGCTATATGCAAGAAATCCGTATAAAAGGTTCTTGTACTAGGCTGTTGCATAAGTTCTGTCCGATTTGAATTTTTGAGTTTAAAATGTCATAACTTCTTTCAGAGTCAACTTTTTTCCAAGGTCTTAGTTTCTATGTGTTGAGCAGTCCCTTGGCTAAAAAATGCATATTGAGATCTGCGCAAATCTTTGTTAAGGAAGAACCAAGAATGCAAAAACTTCGCAGCGTTTTTCTTCGAATCTGTCTTTTTTGACATGGTAACGCTCCCTTATGAAAATTGATAGGCATCTTTTCTAATAATGGATGGATAGAGAAATTTTCGTAGATTATTATGCAACATAAAAGAGCCCATAGGGTTTGCGCTGCCGAGAGATTTTCTTGACCGAACAAAAAATTAGCCACTTTTTGACCTCGCTTCAGCACATGTGTGCATGCCTATTTATGAACTACGAACGTTTTACAACTGACGTGAGCGCCGAAAAGGAATTGGTGGATGGGCCCTGTTAGCTCTTGCTTTGCCCTAGCACCTCCAACTTTGAGCTTGTCGATTACTTCTATTCGCAGAAAGTTATTGCTTGTAAAACATCTATACCAAAGATTTATGTTCGAGGATAAATTTCACTAGCAAGACGTATTCTTCATGGGACCGAACTTCTGCATATACTAGCATTCCATACCCTTATTCCGAAGCCAATGAAAGAACCTGACTTGAAGGGCGCATTGTGGAGATATCCTCGCAAGGACATATTTCTAGGGATAGAACGTACCTCGGCCACTTAGAGATTTTAGGCCTGTGATCTCCGTACACTAAGAATTTTATTGAATTCTGGTATGCTTTAGAAAGCGCAAGGAAAGCACTTTTCAATGATACCAACCGTATCGAATTAGAGATGAAATTCTCTTAGAACAGCTGCTTCAAACATGAGGCAAAAAAATCGGACAGAACTTATGCAACAGCCTAGTACATTTCTTTTTGTCTTCGTATCACACCTTAGAGTACAAAAAGCAAGTTGGTACTCATTTACTCCTTCCTAGTAAGCCTGTATACGATCTTGCTGCATGCCTTCAAGAAAAAATTGGAGTAGGTATTTGAAAGGATTACTTTTCGTTTTGCTAATTCGAACAGGGGTGATTGTTAGGCCATCTTTTTCTGTACTTCTGCTTGGAACGCAGTACGATATGTTAACTTATATTGTAAAGAGTCAGACTTCGAACTCGGGCGATTCAAATAGTGGTCTCAAATCTCGTGCTAAGCACTAGCAACGGCGATCGCTTTTGTATGATCTTTTGGTCTGTTGAAGGAATTGTTTAGGCAAATCTGGGTACTTGGTAGCCTTATGCTAAATTTCAAAAGATCTTACGTCATCCAAGCTGGCATTCGCATAATTTCCGTGGTCGAAAAATTCAAGCCAAAACTCCCAGACCGTGCTCTTTGTAAGCGGACGAGTCAGCACACTCGAGTACGGTAGCGGACGAAAGCTTATAATAGCATTTCTTGGTATTTCGTAGTTAGCTTAGGCCTCTCTATTGCCCCGTCTGAAGACCACGTATCCAGAATTGCCTGAACACTGTCTCTGATGTGTTTTACTTCGATAAACGAAATGTTGCCTCCAATCAAACTACCACACTATCTCTGCTAATCAATTTGATATGGCAGTTCATCCATTCCCAATTCAAATTCACAACTTTCAGAAACTCGCAGTTTCACCCTTCACAATCGGTCAAGCCACCTCTTCCTCCTCGTTCGAATATACAGTTCCCAAACAGGCCCCATACTGCGTCCACTGACAGCGAGCAGAGAATCGAAGATGTAAGCAACTAAAAAACTCTAATGAGGAAAACAAATGACTTGTTGATTTAGACTACGTACGATGTTCTCACAACTCAGAACCGTACTAGCATTGATACTGACAAAGACGGTGACTGGTACGACAGTCCACGAAAGGTTTATGATACCCTAAGTCCAGGAGCTTCATCCTCAAATGTGTCCTCATCTCCTTTACAATCTACACTGTCCACTACGTCTCTGTGGTAAGCTTTTCCTTGGCCGTCATTTTTTGGGAGGTTCTCAACTTGCACAAGCATCTGTAAAAAGACGGGTTATTTTTTTTAGCAGTAGCTTGTCAAGCGAGTTACGACTTTCGTCTTCGAATCCTACTGGAGAAAGCACTAATGGCGATTATGATTGTCTACGGTCTGCTAGCGATAGCCCTGTGGGTTCTTAGAAATCTTCTCTTTATCCACTGCAAATCATTGGATATAAAGTTTAGATGAAATCCGTAGCTCTCAATTTATCGGTGCTTGTAGAACAACTGCTGTTCGTCGAAGTTGCTGGGAGAGTATGGTAAAGCTTAAAGTTTTTGAGGTACTTTGGCTAGCTTCTGAAAAACATCTTTAGGGTTGCCGGCTGGTCAGAATCAAGCGATCGCCATCTAGGACAGCTTTTTAGTTTCGGAGATGAACTTATTGAGGTATATAAATTCTTGAGCTCCAAACTCGTCCAAAACGTTCAAATCCTTCTTTTAGGTGGAGAACATGCCTGTTCGAGGAATTTCGAGCATCCCGCAATTGTTTTACACGCTCTCCTCCCCGGGCACTCCAGTCAACCTGCTTTTGAGGCCTACTCCTTTCGGAGTTACATATCGACTTATGAAACCGATAACAAAGAATAAGGAGATTGGTATTCGTCTTCACAAGAATAAGAATAGGGTGAGTCTGGGTCGGGGAACACTGATTTTTGCTTTTTCTCAACCCTTATTAGCTACAAGAAGAACTGTGGCATTTGGCTCAGCTGAGAACTTGTAATTTAAAATTAAGTTTTAGTCTATGAGACGTTATGATGTAATTATTGAGATATTCTTTATATGCTAAATGACATGATAAGAGAAGAAAGGTACAAAGAAGCTTGAGAAATTCTAGTGGAGTAGGGTGCGACAGAAGATCCTCCGAATAAATCGACATGAACTTTAGCCATTTACGAAAGTTTTTTTGGTATGGTCTGGTTTTATGCAGGTTTGTGATAGAAAATAAAAATAGATAATGGTAACCAATAGAATTTTCAATGTTTTAAATAATATCACAGTTATTCACAAAAACCAACAGAAATACACAGTTTTATACGTTAACGCTACTTTTAAAATTGCTCATGTTATGCCCCCCCCCCTTTTCCTCCTGGTCCGCCACCGGATATGTTCGAGATGAGATATGCAACGTTAACCATATGTTAACCGAACCATCTAGCCGTTGATAAAAAAACAAATAATTATCACTACTGTCCACTTTACATGTATTTTTTCATTGATAATTTACGCACTAATTTCAGATTGAATCCATCATTCCGGATTCGTCAGCTGATCGGCGCAACATTCCCATTACCATGCCATCACCAATTCGGTCAGGAATGGATACCGCTGTGGTAAGTTTTTGCTGATAAACTTTTGTTTAAAGAAGTCCTTGATGTCTTATAGCGTGTCTAACTTTTGGGGGAAAACCATTCTCAACAGAAATTTTCGGCCCGATGTTAAGCATAAAAAACATCGCAGTTCCATTTCAAGAAGATTTTTACAGTCGATAACACCACTGAACTGCTTACACTCTAACGATTCAGAACACAATGCTAAAATGACACAAAGCATCAGTTTTACATGTTAGTGATCTTTCAGGTGATTACTGAGGTGAACAAGCGGCGATTAAATCCATTCTCGAAGAACGATCAGCTCTTCAAAAGGTTGGATGAGGTAAGTTTGAATTTGTGGGATATCACTATGCCTCCAACCCTTCACTTTTTTTTGTAGATTCGAGACGGAAGCGAGTTTACGATCGTTTTGCATCCACACGACTTCATCAAGCAACTGAAACAACAAATTCTTGCTGTTCATCACTACAAGGCGTTTCTTTGCCAATAGTACTCACAGAAATTATCTTTTTCTGAGAAAAGTGATTCCAAATCAGCCAAATATAAATAGGTTAGGACATTTAAGACGCCTTCAGGCGTAATCAGTGAAATTTTTGCTTTGTTGCGTTTTACGCATTTATGGATTGTTTATTCTACTTATTTTAGTCTTGTAAATAGGAGTGTGCGTTAAGTCTGGTAATTTGTCATTGCATGAGCAAAGCATACGGGATACTGCCTCTATATCGCATATATCTCAAAGAATTTCTTGTACACATTTTTTCCATTTGTATGAATAAATCGTGCGAATACAAACGTGTCCGACCTAACACATCTGCCAAAAATCTTACATGTTTGGTAAGTCTTTTTTTGGTACTATGGAGACTTAAAAAGACGAGTGCACAATCATCAAAAAATAAAGAGTGAATCACAAAGCGAAAAATTGAAAAACTTGAAAGCAGTGACAACAACGGAGTTGCTCGAACTGAGATGTTTTTGCGAGTTTACTGCGAAGTTTACCCTCAAAGCGTGTGACCATTTTAGCAGTCGTAATCACACAACAAGCCTTTTACAGTAATAGCTGCAGGTTATTTTTGATATGAGTATCTGATATTCTAGAAAAAGGTTCGTGAGTTTTAAGCTATTGTCCAAGCGGCAAAACCTATGACTTATTCGTGACTGGGAGATTCAACTTCAACTCCATTCATTTAACACCTATTCGACCATACTATCGTACTCGAGAACGATGATTGGTCCGCTCGGAAGGAGTTTGATCTGTGTTGAAATTTATAGCAGAATTTCTTTGCCAAAACATTCAGGCTGCCGTTCAGGCTATGGTTTACTTAGCCTCTTAGTTAGCATTTGAGAAAATATGACACTTAGTGAGCAACCCTACCATTGACTTTCAGAGCGTTTTGAACACGGAAAGACATGACTGCCTCAAGTGCCAACATCTTGCTGGCATTGGCATAGAAATGCTTTTGAAAAATCCTTTTAAAAGATTGGTTTTTTGTGTCTTAGAAAGTCCTTCTATTTCAAAACATCTATGAAAAGAGTGGTTATACTTTGTCAAAAAATGTGTTGCAATAGCGGTAACGTGTGTTTATGTGCAACTGCATACATAATCCCTAGAATTTACTCAATTGTGACCTCAAATCTTACAAATTTATGGACAAAATTGATTGGTTAAATCAAAAGCAGTGTAGGTGATACGGATTTCAAAAGATTTCAAGAGTTTATAATAAAATGGAAGGATTTGTTAAGTATGGGCAGCTGGGATAAGTCTATACCACAAACTGCACGTGAAGCGCTATTTCGTTTGTCCTAACAATTTTCTAAAGAAAATTAGTAACACCTAAGTCATTTTGTGGGTTAATCAAATAATCTACATATACAGTGCTGGACATAATTATACAGCCACTCTAGAAATCGTCGTAAATTTTGTTCTTGTCAATGAATCTGTCTGAAAGTTTGCTGTATTGTGCGCATGTCAACCTACCATAACCCCTCAAAACGGCTTCCAGTCTTGTTGAGTTTGAACGGAGAAAAACGAAAAAACGAAAAAGCCCTCTTTGAAAGCTGGACAAAATTATACAGCCACCGGGTTTTTCTAATCACTATCGCATTCGTTGACTCTCAAATTTTTTTGTACAATTACATCCTATGGAACATTTGCGACACTTACGGCCTGTCTTCCTACTCAAATAGAAGCAATCGCTGCATTTCTTGCTTTTAAAAGCATTTAAAGTCAATCTCCTTCAACAAACAACTGCTTTTAAAGAGTTTTCAAGCTCTTGTTCATTCCAAATGATAATCATGAAATCTACTGACCCTTCTGGATAGATGAGGTGAAGAACGCTTTCGTAAACTCTGCGTAATCGCTGATTTTGACAGACAGACTCCAACCTCACCATAGGGTTGACGCACTTTTGCACGACGAAACTCGATTTTCAAGCGACAGAAAATACTGTAATGTAGCCATTACGACAGCCATACAACAGTGAACTTGTGTGCATGACTGGGAAGAAATTTCCGGACTGAGCATTCTGATTCAGCCACAGTTGACATTCACTGAATGTTAAGTGGAGCACCCTGTACAATCAAAGCCAACTCAGATCAGAGAAAACCGGAGACGCCTAAAACTTCAAAATCTTAGCTAATCTCATTCATCGGGTGAAATATGACATGAAACACAGACGGAAATAAGGAGATCTGGGGTTATATCGAATCTTTCGCTCGCAGGAAATTTTTGTGGAAAGTATTCCAGGTCTAAATCGCTACCGCATCATTAGGAAAAATCTGAAAGTTGTTGCGAAAGCTGTATCCCCATGTAGACAATGTGATAAATCAAGTTCAGCACTTTGTGGACATTGCAAACTGAGTTTTGTGGTTTAAAAGCGTTCCAAGCCTATGTTGAGGTTGGAGTCTGTCTGTCAAAATCAGCGATTACGCAGAGTTTACGAAAGCGCTCTTCACCTCATCTATCCAGAAGGGTCAGTAGATTTCATGATTATCATTTGGAATGAACAAGAGCTTGAAAACTCTTTAAAAGCAGTTGTTTGTTGAAGGAGATTGACTTTAAATGCTTTTAAAAGCAAGAAATGCAGCGATTGCTTCTATTTGAGTAGGAAGACAGGCCGTAAGTGTCGCAAATGTTCCATAGGATGTAATTGTACAAAAAAATTTGAGAGTCAACGAATGCGATAGTGATTAGAAAAACCCGGTGGCTGTATAATTTTGTCCAGCTTTCAAAGAGGGCTTTTTCGTTTTTTCGTTTTTCTCCGTTCAAACTCAACAAGACTGGAAGCCGTTTTGAGGGGTTATGGTAGGTTGACATGCGCACAATACAGCAAACTTTCAAACAGATTCATTGACAAGAACAAAATTTACGACGATTTCTAGAGTGGCTGTATAATTATGTCCAGCACTGTAGTAGATGAAATAACATAAAAATCTTGCATGGATCAATCTGACATTTTGCCGCAGAAAAAGCTCATTTTGGGAAAACGATCATATTTCGGATACTATTTTTCTTGAAACAAGTATAGCGAAACAGAATTGAACGATCATAACGATCATAACAATCATACAAATGATTCCTTGATTCATCATTAGAAGTTCCATCTGATAATCATCATGTTATATGTAAATGGTCACTAACAAATAAACTGTTCATATAGTTTGTTCGATTGTAACATGCGCAATTTGAGCAGATTTGCCATGAAGTCCTGATTAGAAACTTATTCTCTTCGACTACTGTGCGCGTCAGTCTAAGGAATTATAAGCATATTGAGCCAGAACTCGGAAATATGCATGAAATAAAAAAATCCTTACAAATGTTCAGCGCTCGAATGAAATTGCAGTGAGGGTGGGTTCAGCCAGAAAAACGTAGTTTTGCAAAGCAAGTCATCCTATGCATTATACTAATTTGGATTTCTATAACTCCTAAAACCCTCCCCTACTAAACTCCAATTTGTTAGTCCAAAAATGTTACAATTCAATGGTAATTCGTTCAGTAGATGGACACCTCAAAATTCGCGAAAAGATAAGCCGATACCACTGAATTCCTCCACACTTGTGGCCACCTCATTCCGCTGAACAAGTTCTGATTCTCAGGGTACAATTCGACCTACTGTAAGCTCGATGCCGCACTTCTTCGAAATAAAGTTCTATCATGGACTGTCTGGGTACACTAAGCATACTTCAGAAAATTCGCAGAATGTTTGAGGAAGTTCCGCGGGTCACCATCTGAAGTACGTGCTGCGGATGTTCCGAAGAATGCGAACCACAACAGCAAAAGATAACACCTAAGCAAGATTGGAACATTGTTCTGTTTACTGTGAAACTCACTTACTGTCCTCGGTATTATAAACGACATGGTCGACGATGCACTCTAGTTGGTTGTAGGCGAGGCAGCATCGGAAGAGACAACACATTCGGAAACATGCGGAGGTACTGGTCAAAGTGCTACAAAATCGCTGCCATTTTTTGACTCTTCGCAGCGTTTTGTAACAAGTCTTGCGGAAGTTCCCGCTCAAGCCTGTCTTGAAAATCCTGCGGAAGTGCCCATTTTCAACGTTTCCATTTTCCAAATTTTGCTTGTTCTGCGCAACCTCCGGTGAAGTGTCTGAGACAAGGATTTGTCACTTTCAAAACTTTGGCAGTTCCATACTGGTTCTATAGTTCCATACGGGTAAATGAGAGGCATCAAAATGAGTTGAGATTGCCTTCGAGATCAGAAATCGTCTGTTCTGAACTGAGATATGGCGATGTGACGAATTGTCGCGGTCTTCGGACAATCACTATTATTTCACAAATTCTGAGCATTTTACACTGAAAACGATCTAGCATTCCAGGTTTGTTTTCCTTGGCTACAATTCGAATGACCTCTTCGACTGAAACTAAAGTCTTCAAATGCTACTGGCTTCTTGTCAGAATTCAGCGTTTATTCCATCGCTTGCATCACATTAGCCATGTAACCCCGTTTCTGCTAGCCCTTCCCAGAAACAAATTAGTAAACATACTTTTTCAGCTACAGCGCTAATAATCGGCAAATTCACAAGGCTTCAATTCATGGAGCGAGGAGACGCATGTGTCAGGCGATTCCCTCATTAACTGAATGACGAATAGTAATATGTCGAGTGACAATCATTTGGTCCACTCGTTCTCAGCATACTAATCCAAGGTGCTCGAGCATATGGAATGCTATGCAAATATTTATTTTCTAGTTGGCTATAATTGTTTTGGGCGTTTGGATGAAACCCATTAGGCATTTCCACCTGGCTTGCGCGCTTGACGTTTGCAGTGTGCAAGAGATATGATTGAAAATAGCTTCAAAGAAAGCATAACCCTTTTTTCTTTCGCGATTGCATTGATCTTTGACATTTTCCCAAATTTCATTATTGGAGTGACAATTTTGAAAATTGCAATCGTGTTTCAGAGCAAAATCAACAAGACACGGTTATTCCGCTCGAATCGGCCCACATTCTGTCTCATTCTGTTTAGGGGCAGTTGATTGCAGATGGTGTTTACTTTGTGTCTCGATTCATCTCACCTAATTGCTCGATCTGCGCATTAAAGTAATACGAAAGTGTTAATAAGATATTTGAGAACTTAACACAGGTTTTTCAGAAATCATTTTCATAGCAATAACGTTGAGAAAAACTGCAGAAAAAAATCTCCTTCCCATTTTTTCTGCTTTCCTTCCGCTACCTGCGAGTTATCGCTGCGGTTTATAATTTCTCACCTCCAATACCAAAGTGTGAGATTATGTCCAACGTCATAATTTTTGTAGCACCACAAAATTAT